TGAAAAAAGTTCAAATATTCATAATATAGGGTTGGTATGTCATGTGAAATATCACCTTCAAACAGGCAAACGCTTTCACAAAGGATGTATTAGGAATATGGGGTCCACGACACAAATCTACCAATGGACCACATCTGTATACAGTGATAGTCTTGTCTGCAGGCAAGTCCTTGATGATTTCAACCTGATAATAACAAGGACAAAAAAATCTGGATTATGAAATAAAAAAGCGAAAACTAATTTATTTTTATAAAACTAGCAGTTCAACTCGCCTTGAAATTATTGTCACAAAACATCTCAAGAGCTTGCTCCCTTGTCACTTCAATGCGCTCAAAAGGTTGTTTTTCCTGAAAATTAAGTACCAAATAGAACAATTTATTTTGGAGGATACAATTTCAAGAGTGTGATCTCCCATTCCAAAGAATGAACAAATAAATAACAAGTGTTTAATTGTGCAGCAATTTTAATTGCTGCTTCATGATACAAATTTGGCTGGACAGATAATAACAATACAGGCAGATTAACTTGACAGACACTTCACTCTCTGGCATAAATAGAAAGAATGCAATATCTTTTCTGATAAGAATATTGTATAATAATATATACACTCTTTGAAAATTTAATCTATTCGCTCCTAAAAATTCCATTTTCCAAGTAGTCAGAAGTACTTCAGAATAAGCAAGTGATGTTCCATGCCAACAGAACTGTAAAACTAGAGAAAAAATAATAACTAATGAACTAGCATGATGCAAAAGCTTTTGTATTCAGGAGGATGAAGAATACCGCAACAGCTTTGAGGGCTCCTGCTTCAATTTCCTTAAAGTGATCATCATTCAAGCCCAAATCACCATAAAATGCATCATAATAGAAACCCTGTAAGAGAACAGGGGGGATATTAACATCTCATAAAAGGAGATATTCATGAATAAAAAGTCAAAACAAACTAAGTATCTAGATGAAAATAATCAAAGGAGGGATCAACCACACAGGCAGAAAAATTAAATTCATTATTTTTACTACACTACTTGTTTAACTTCAAGAGTTTAAAAGAGATACAAACTAAAACAACAAAATCTGCTGCAACTCAAAACTTGATGCACACAAATTCATTAAGTATGCTAAATAAGATACAACCAGAGGATTCACAATTAAGAATTCAGTATATTTTACAACATTAAGTAAAAAATAAAAATAAAAAGTCTGATTAACATATGATCTACCTCTCCCCTTGTGGTACAGGGCCCAATGCACAGTTTGCAACCATATACGCTTTCAAGGGACTGCACAGAGAAAAGAAGTATATTGAAACACCATTATCAACATCAAAAAAAATAAGCCCAAATCCTAAAAACCATAACACAGAAACCAACCCAGTTGCCCCAGAAGCAATAAGAACACGGCAATCCCCGTACCTGGCCAAGAATGTGAGCACTGGAGTGCCAAAAGGTATCACGCCCCTCGTCGCTATCAAAAGTGAAAATCTTGAGCTCACAATCACCTTCCAACGGTCTTGTCATGTCCCACAGAACGCCATTCACCGAAGAAATAAGTGCATTAGAAGCCAGACTCTTAGAAATCTCCTTAGCAATATCCATAGGGGACGAGACCCACTTCTTCCCCTCCTTCACTGTCCCATCTGGCAAAGTAATCTTGATGGGTTCTGAGGGAACTAACTTCAGCTGCGCGAGCTGCTGCTGCGACTTGATGGTTTCAAATAGCTGGATGCGCTTGGGTATGACTTTCTGGAGATAGGATTCGTCCTTGGGGTGTGGCGATGCCATGGCTGCGGCGGCGAAGAGGCGCAGACAGAGGAGTCTAGAGAGAGGGAAAAAAGACGGACGGTAGAAAGAGGAAGAGAGGGCGCATAGCATAAGGAGGGATTTCTTGGAGTTTTCCTTCCGTTAAGAGGTTTAGGGTTTTATACATTTCCGTTAACATTTATTTCTTGCCTTTTTTTTCATCAAATGATTTTTTATTATACTTTCTTTTATGATTTCTAATCCTACCAAAAGAAAAAAAAAAAGTTTTAGTTTTAATTCTCTGTTAATAAACATTTCATAATTTCTATAAATATCAAAAGTTATTGACTAGATCTAAATTCATAGTAAGTTTTACATTTTAACTACACAATTTCACTTAAGATTTTATAAATTTATAATTTCAATTTTTATCATTTTAAAAAATGAAATTGAAATTGATTGAATTGAAAAATGAAATTGATTCATCCTTGTTCCAAAAAAAATGAAATTCATTCTAAAACTCGACTCGTGTGCTATGCGTTCAAATGTATCTTTTTCTTTTTATAATCAAAATTGTGGTTTTTTTTTAAATATATTTAGAGTTACCTGCTTTTGATCAAATGTATTATTTTATAATATGTTTGATTTAACAAAAAAATAAAAAGGAAGTAATTTTATTTGGATTAATTCAATTAAATTACTGAGTTAATAAAATAATTTGATTGATTTTAATAATTTTTTTTCCTTCTTGCAAACCAAATAGGCTATTAATATTTTTGAGGAAATTTTTTAATTAAATTATTTAATATATCATAAAAACATATTAAATGGGTATTTGCATTTGCATGTACTAATTATTTATTTTTATAAAAGAATTAACTTTGTCGAATATTATATAAAAAGAACATAAATTCCAAAGCAAAAAATCTGTGGGTCTTTTTATCATGATAATTTACAGTTAGGCCTTTTTCTTATTCTTTTATGCTCGTTTTCTTCCGACGGAAGTCCAGCGTGGGCATCAAGCAATAGGACCCAACAAAAGTTGGACCGAATCAATTGGCTTCTTGGGTCAGACCAGAAATTAAGCCGATAACGTAGCTGCTTTCGTTCGTCTTGTCTTGCAGTTGGGTTTGGGCCATAAAGAAAGGCTAATTCACTAGGCCGAATCTCCTTTCCCTTTGTGGTCTACTTTTAGCCAATTTTCTTGCCTACTTATTAGATTTTTTTTATTATTTTACGATATGAATTGTTTTTTATTTTTAACAAGGTTACAAATATGGGGGAGGAAAGACTCGAACCTCAACCCTCGGTTTGGGGGGATGCACCTTACAAGCCGGTCTAAGGTGGTTGGGCCGTGAGACCCAGGTGCACGATATGAATTGTTTTAAATTATAAAATAAAGATATTTTTATGGAAAGACTTTCGGTATTAAAGGCCCTCTCTCCATTAAAGGATTAGTGTTTTTTTATCTAAAATAATTTAAATTATAAAATACTTTTTTTATTTGTAAGATTAACTAGTTTATGTGCATTTTCATAATAATATTTCTTTAAATGATCTTAAGAATACAATCTCATATTGAATTAATACATTTAAAAAAATTAATATTTATAAATGCTAATTTTAAAATTTAAACTATAAACATAATCTATAAAATAACACAAATTTACAAGTGAATTTAATCTTAGGATTCACTACACATGAGAATATGATTGTTCTTAGAATTCTTTATTTTCCTAGAAGCTAGAGCTCAAGCTTGAATCCTACCACCTATAAACTTAGCTATTTAGCTTGTTTAAGAAATAAGAGTTTGGAAGTCAAGGTCTTCTCAAATCTTATATTCAATTAGATCTTTTTTTCTCCTTAGTCTTGAATCAAACTTGGATGTATATGTATGATTTACAAATTGATAAGGTACATATCCCTGGTGTTGGAGAAATACTCGAACGAGTTTGGATGAAAAATCCATCCAAAAAATTTAAATAATAATAATATTAAAAAAAAAAAAAAAAAAGGGAAGTGAAAACGATTAGATATGATATTAGTAATGGTCCCCTCACACAGGTGAAAATTTAGAAAAGGGCAATGCATTTGCATTAAGCAATTACTATAATTGGTCAACGGTTGTCATCCAATACTTTCAGTTACATCTATATAGATAAATATTATTCCAATTTTAAGAAGAGAAGTGTTATATGTATTTAGCGTGTATCTAAATATATATATAGAAATAGTGTTTATCAGTTTTACCTTCTAAAAATTAGAAGGAAAATCATTCCAAAACTACATTTTTTCAATAAATTTTTATTGAAAAAGATTAAACTACTATATTTTTAAAGCATGTATTAAAGTGATTTTTGTCCTTTTTTTTCTTAATTTTTTAGAAGTAAAGCGGATAAACACTGACCCTTATATGTATTATTTATTATTTTTTAAAAAATAAAATAAAATATTGCAATCAGGCCAATCATAACTGGAGTGAACTCGGCTAATGATATTGCCTATAACCTTCTCAATGTGGGGATGTGGCATTCCGAAATATATATGCATACAAAGTACAAAGCTACGAAATAAAAAGCAGAGCTTCTTTTTATATATTGCTTATGAACTAAGCTAAACTGCACATACACCTTGCTCTCTTCCATCTCTATTATGCAACTTGAAACTCCCTTTTGCATGCACAATGTCCGTAAATTCGCTTTAGATGGCTTGCATTTAACTAGACCAATACCACGCAAAAGAACATACCTCAAGTTCAGCTCCCGAAGCTTCCAAGAAGATGACCAAGGTATGCATATATTTTATTTATTCATTTACATATTGTCGAAAGATAAATTTGTTTCGCTATTATGCACATACAATTGTTTAATTGTAGTTTAGTGTTTAATTTTTAAAATTAGTCTGTACCAACTCGGGTTAATACCAAATATCTCTTTTTTTGATAGGGAAGTCAGATGATATTGTGGGTGCAAGCATGAGCATCCTAAGGGAGAGAATAGAGGAAGTGAAGAAGAAGGAGAAAGGGTGGAACAATCGCTCTAATTTATATCATGGGCACAATCACAAAAGAGCTAACATGATGCATGACTCCCTTGAGATTGTAGGTTTTGCTGTATGTACACTCGGGCCTGTTTTTCTCAGTGGTTCCATCTGTATCTTCCTTGTTTTCTTTCTTGTTCATCACATGAATTAATTGAAGTACTAATTCAAAAAAGTGGGGTTTGTGCAAGACGGAATTAGGGAAATTCATTAAATTTCAATATCATAGTTTATTTATACATCGATCTTCCTTAATCTTCGTTTCCTCTTGTCAATTGTTAATTTTTTAAGAATATAAATCCGTAAAATTAAGTTAATAGAATCTTATAACAAATCAACTAATGAGAATTTATTAAGATAGTAAAATTTAAA